CCTGGGATAGTGCCATGACATTATCATAGCTCACAGAAACCTCAAACTCCTAGGCTCAAAAGATCCTCCTGCCTCAGCCTCCTAAGTAGCTGGGACTACATGTACCTACCACAATGTCTGGCTAATTTTTCTGTTTTTGGTAGAGATGGGGTCTCATTCTTGCTCAGGCTGGTCTTGAACTCCTGAGCTTAGGCAATCCACCCACCTCAGCCTTACAAACTGGTAGAATTACAGGCATGAGCCACCACGCCCAGCTGAATAGCTGAATACACTTTTCTGTCACTTTGGTTTTTTCACTTCACCATATCAGCACAAGATGTACTTCTTCCTTTTTTTTTTTTGAGACAGAGCCTCAAGCTGTCTGCCTGGGTAGAGTGCTGTGGCATCACAGCTCACAGCAACCTCCAACTCCTGGGCTCAAGCGAGTCTCCTGCTTCAACCTCCCAAGTAGCTGGCACTACAGGTGCCCGCCACAATGCCCGCCTATTTTTTTGTTGTGCCATCATTGTTGTTTGGCGGGCCTGGGCTGGATTCGAACCCGCCACCTCAGGTGTATGTGGCTGACGCCTTAGCCACTTGAGCCACAGGCGCTGAGCCTGCTTCTTCCATTTTGAAGTGGCTGCAGAGTATTCTGCTACATGAATGTGTCCTGAATGTGAATACTCTTAAACATCTTGACACACCTGTTCCAACGATTTTGGTAGGATCAATTCTTAGAAGGAAACTGCTGGGTCACAAGTCATGTTTGTTTTACTTTCTTTTTAAAATTTTTTTAGAGACAGGCTGGATATAGTGATCAGATCATAGGCCATTGTAACTTCAAATACCTGAACTTGAGTGATACTTCTCCTCAGCCAATGGCCTAGCAGATTTTTTAATTTTTTGTAGAGATTGTTCTTGCTGTATTGCCCAGGCTGGTTTCAAACTCCTCACCTCAAGCAATCCTCCTGCCTCAACCTCCCCAAGTGCTGAGATTATATGCATAAACCACCAAGCCTTGTTGCATTTGTTTTGTTTTGGTTGATGGTTCAAATTACCCTCCGAAACAGTAGTGCCAAGCCAAGCACAGTGCCTTATACTAGTAATCTTAGCACTCTGGGAGGCTGAGATGGGAAGATCACTTGAGCCCAGGAGCTTGAGGTTGCTGTGAGCATGCATGGGTACTCTAGCCCAGACAACAGAGTGAGACTCTCTCAAAAAAATAAAAAAAGAAAAGAAAAAGAAGAAAAATTAGCCCAGCATTGTGGCTGGCACCTGTAGTTCCAGCTACTTGGGAGGATGAGGCAGGAGGATCACTTGAACCCAGGAATTTGAGGTTGCTGTGAGCTAAGCCACTCTAGCCTGGGGCAACAGAGTGAGACTCTGTCTCAAGGAAAGAAAAGGCAGTTCCAATTAGAGTTGCAGCAGCAGTAATCAGAGTGCCTTTTTTCCCACACCCCTGCCAACAAGCACTATGTATAACAGCTTTTCTAAGTGTTGTTAGTCTTTTTTTTTTTTTTTTTT